CCGGAGAAGGAGGACGGGATGCTGAGCAAGCTGTGCCACAAGGACTTGTGCCGCTGCGCAGAGGGTGGGTGCCAGGGCACAGTGGGGAGGGGGAGGGGAGGGGGAGGGGAGGGGGAGGGCCCCCCCACTTTTACTACAGCCCTGGGCAGTGAGCCCTGGATGAGAAGTAGGATGCAGACTGGATCTTCTCTGTCCTGCAGAAAACTGCTTCATGCACCAGGCGGATGAGAAGGTCACCCTGGATGAGCGCCTAGAAAAAGCCTGCGAGCCAGGGGTGGACTACGGTGAGTGGGCAACAGGGAGTGCAGGCACATGTAGCTCTGGGGCATGGTGTGTGCACCAGGCTGTGTGACATTAGGTGTGATTGTGTGTGTGACTGGCTATGGCTGTGACTGTCAGGCTGTGGTTGTGGGTGACTGCGCCAGCACGTGTGTGTGAAAATGTGTGAGAGGCCATGGTTTTGTGGAGAACCGTGGTTGTAAGCGGTGTATGTACAAGTGTGTGATAAAAGGTGGCTGTGCCCAAGGACCCAAGTTCGATCCCCGGTACCAAAAAAAAAAAGAAAAAAGGGTGGCTGTGCATGGCCATGTGAGGCTGTGCTTGTCAGTGTGACTGTGTGTGGTGGTGAGTGGGTGTGACTGTGTGTCTGAGGGGCTGAGGCCGTCGTGCACAGCCGGGGCGGTGCGCTGCCGTGCTGGTGGGTCACTGGTGCCTCTGGAGCTGTGTATGTGGCTGGAGTTGTGCATGGCTGCGTGTGACTGGCTGCGTGGCCTTGCCTTAGATGCCGGTGTGTATCAGCATCTGTCCTTTGCACGTGACCGTCCCTGCGGGCGGCTGTCATCTGTGCCTCTGTGCATGACCGCGTGGGCTGTGACTGTCACCCTGTGTGGTGGTGGTGTTCACTGGGTGGACTCCACGCGACTGGCTGTGATCCCCGTGTCTCTGCTTGGGGCTGGGGGCCCAACCGTCAACCCCGCCCAGGACCCACACGGCCCCCTCCACCCCACAGTGTACAAAACCAAGCTGGTCAAGATGGAGCTGTCCGACGATTTCGACGAATACATAATGACGATTGAACAGGTCATCAAGTCAGGTCAGCGGGGCGCTCATCTTCCTGCCCGCTCCCCTCTGTCCCCCCGCTCCACCCCGCAGCTCAGCATCCCTCCCTCTCCACCCAGGCTCCGATGAGGTGCAGGCTGGGCAGGAGCGCAGGTTCATCAGCCACGTCAAGTGCAGAGACGCCCTGCGCCTGAAGGACGGGAAGCACTACCTCATGTGGGGCGTCTCCTCCGACCTGTGGGGAGAGAAACCCAAGTGAGTGCCGGCCTGCTTGCGCGTGCGCCCCGCCTCCTGGCCGGTCCCGCCCACCTCCTAGCCCGGCCCTCCCAGGCCCACGCCCATTGGCCCCCTCCCAACCGGCCCGCCCAGCCCCTGACACGCCCCGCCTCCACACACGCTACCCTGGCCCTCCTCTCCTGACCTGTCGTCCGGCCCACAGCATCAGTTACATCATCGGGAAGGATACCTGGGTGGAGCTGTGGCCCGAGGCGGAAGAATGCCAAGACGAGGAGAACCAGAAGCAGTGCCAGGAGCTGGGCGCCTTCACGGAGAGCATGGTGGTCTTTGGATGCCCCAACTGACCACGCCCCTCGCCCGCCCTCTAATAAAGCTTTAGGCCTACGTCACCTGGTTCCCAAAGTCTAAAGTTCTTTGAGAGAAAAAGCGGCACTGTGACCCCCCCCCCAGCTCCAGCCCACCTAGTTCTCATGGATACCCTCCGCCCTCACCAGCTGCTTGCTGCCACCTTCACCCCCTTCTCACTGCTGCCTCACCTGTTTTTCTTTTTTTCTCTGTACCGGGGATCAAACTTGGGACCTTGTGCTTGTGAGGCAGGTGGCGGCACCACCGAGCTAAATCTCCGGCCCCAGTTTCTCACCTGTTTTTTAATGATAGTCCCATCTTAATCTGCTCTGTCTGCACCCTCAACTGTATCTGTTGGTCCTCACCTAGCCTACCACAGATCTCTTCCCCTGTCAGTTTACCGGTACCCTTTTTTTTTCTGGTCCTGCGAATGGAACCCAGGACCTTCACAATGAGCTGCATGCCCCGCCTTTTTTATTTTGAGACTGAGTCCAGCTGAGTCCCTAACTTAGCCAGGCTGGGCTGGAACTTGCAATCCTCTTGAAGCAGCCTTTCAGAGTGCTGGCTTGGCAGGCATGCGCCAACACGCCAGGCTTTTTACCTGTCTTCCTACCTGCACGCTTACCTGTGTCTCCACCAGCATCCTAAGTCCTGCTCTGCCTCCTCCTCAAACCCCCTGACCCTCTGTGGATCCTGCGTGCCCTTCTGCAGCTCCCCGCTCGCTGGATTTCCTGTCTCCCCTGCCTTCCCTGCCTTCCCTGCCTTCCACTTGCCCTGCTCGGCGGCGGCTCTCCTTCTGGTCTTAGATGGGAGACCACGGATGTAGACGTCCGGAAGGGGGCGCCAGGGGCTGCAGGCGGGGGGGGGGGCAGGCCTATTTCCAGCTGATGCCTGGAGGGGAAGATGAGTCAGCAGTGGGGAAGGCGAGGGTGTCTGTGGTCGCATCACCACCACCCTGCGTAGGAGGACCCACCACAGCAGGGGGCAGGAACCACTCCTGCTCAGGGGGGAGGGGTCGTCCTGGAGGAGGTTTGTTGGTTTGTTTGTTTGTTGAGACAGGGTCTTACTAATTTGCCCAGATTGGCCTGGAACTTGCTATCTTCTTGACTCAGCCTCCCAGAGTGCTGATCTGACAGGTGTGCATTACCACACCTGGCTCGAAAGTGCATCTTCTAAAGGCACCTTTGGTCCGTCGGAGTCTGCGAGCATCCACTGCTGGGGGCCGGACCAGGGTTCTGGCTGGGAATGAGGTCATGGGGAAGCCCCACCCCCTTGCCGGAAAGTCAGGGGGCACAGTGCCTTCCCCTAAGACCCCCAGGCCCTGGAAAGCCCCCCTCCCAACTCCGGGAACATAGCGGACATTAAGTCACAACCCACCCCTAGTTTCTACAGCCCCCAAATGCCAAGGGCTCCTGTCCGGGGAAGCCCCCAAATACTGCATTCTCCATTCCTCATGGGGTATCCCCCTACTGCCAGATCCTCCCTGCACCACATTTATGTCCTTCCCTTTTCTTTGATATGGGATTTATAACATCAATTCTTTAACAGGCAGGGGCCTCTGGGGGTTTTGGGTTGTGATTTCACCCATCTGTAGCTCTAGGTTATGGCCAGCATGGGTAGGAGCTTAACCTGAAATTGTGAAAGGGGAACAGAAAACAACACTTACAACAGTGTGGAAGCTGGGTGCGGTGGTGCTGACCTCTCTCTAATCCCACTACGTGGGAGGCTGAGGCAGGAGGATCCCAAATTCAAGTCAGACTGGGTAACTTAGCAAAAGCCTGTCTCAAAATCAGAATCCAAAGGGCTGGGGATGTAGCTCAGTGGTATAGCACATGCCTAGCATGTGAAGGCTCTGTGTTTAACCCCCTGCAGTGCAAAAATAAATAAACGAATGAATATTTTTTTTTTTGGTACCGGGGATTGAATTTGGGACCTTGCGCTTGCGTGGCAGGCGCCGGAACCACTGAGCTAAATCCCTGGCCCCCGAATGAGTATTTTTAAAGGCAGCATGGAATTGATTTCACAGAGGATGTTTAGGAAACGTAGGGTGGGGTGACGTCATAAAGCTTGCCCAGGTGGCTGGATCAGGTCCTCTGCATGCAGAGCAGTGCGGGCTACTGTTGTGTCGACTTAGCTAAACGGTGGTCCTTAGTCTGTGTGGCTGGCGAGGCCACATCAGGTAGGAGATGGCCCTGGGCACCGAGGGTGGGCTGCAGGCAGCACGTTGGGCCAGAGGCTGAAGTTCCTGAATGGGGGCTCTGCCCCAAGCCTTTGGCATGGGAAACAGAAACTCTGCCTCAGTTTCTGGCCTTTGGATGAGGACTGCAGCAGCAGCTCTTACCTGAAAGTGTCTCGGGGCTGCTGGCTTAGTCCATGGTTGTCACACTTGGCAATAGCCTTAAAACAGACCAGGCTCTCCATCTCTGTCAATCTCTTCTTTCCTTCCTTGTCTCTCTGGGTGTCTCTCTCTCTCCCTCTTGTGTGCTGATGTAGGTGTCCCCAAAGAGCCACCTCAGGAGACTGCTCCCGGCTTTGAGATGTTGGGCACAGAGTGACACAGCGACGCGGCACTAAGACCAGTGGAGACCCAGCTGCGACCCACTGGATGTCACTTGCTATCAGGGCCAGACTGGAGCTATTTTCAGCTTGGAGGGCTCTGAGGAGGATCCTCATGGAGCCTCATGCAGTGGCCACACCCGGTGGGAGGTCGTGTGGGCCACAGGAGGCTCTGTTTCCGGCTGCTGGATCAGGACTGACTCACCCAAGAGGGTCACGCAGGGTGGAGGGGCTGAGGGGACCCCAGTGTCAGCTTCCTCCTTTGCTGCAGGGACACCCAGATCCCGGCAGGCGTTTCTCCGTGCCCCACACAGTCCCTGGGCAGCGGTGAGGCCTTGGCCACCAGCTGGCTGGGAAGCAGGCACCAGGGCTGGAATGGGGACGGGGTGCAGAACAGTCTCCAAATCTCAGCAAGAGGCAGCCCCTGGAGCTGCTTCCGTGACGGTACAGAAAGAGGGGCAGCTGGATTTGGCCCACGGCAGTGATCTGCCAATCCCTGTCCTCTCAATGGGAAGTTCACTGGGAGATTTGAAGCCATGAGGTGACCCTGGCTGGCTTGGAGGTTTAAATAGCACATGCCTGTCATCCCAGCAATCTGGGAGGCTGAGGCAGGAGGATTGCAAGTTTGACCCCAGTCTGGACAACTTAGCAACTTAGCATGAGCCTGTCTCAAAAGAAAAAATAAAGAGGGCTGGGGTTGTAGCTCAGTGGAAAGGCCTTGGGTTCAATCTTCAGAATGAATGAATGAACACACACACACACACACACACACACAAATGAAAATTAAAAGGAGAAAAGATTTATTTTGGCTCATGATTTCAGAGGTTTATGGTTCTTGGCCAGGTAGCTTTTGGGTCTGTGGCGAGCTCGAACATCATCTCAGAAGTGTGGCAGAGCAAAGTTCCTCACCTCATGGGGACCTGGAAACCAGGCGAGGTGGGGGCTGGAAATGGAACATCTCCTTTCATTTCATGCCCCTACTAAACTCACTTCCTCCTACCAATCCCCAGGGCACTGTCAGCTGAAGATCAGTCTTTTAACACAGGAGCCTGTGAGGGTGAATTTCACACCCAACGGTGACAGGTGAGATGTGGGGGGACAAGACAGAGGGAGAAGGTCAGAGTGACTCCCAGGTCCCAAGCTTGGTTGGCGGAGTAGACAGTGGTTCCCTTCCCAACTGTCAGTTCCAGTCTTAAAAATCCGGAGCTGAGCACGGTGGCACACACCCACAATCCCAGCACCATGGAGGCTGAGACCTGAGTGTCTTGTTTTGAGCCCAATGATTTAGGCAGACCTTGTCTCAAAGAAGGGCTGGGAATGCAGCTCAGTGCAAAGACCCTGCCTGGATTCATTCTGCAGTACCAAAATAAATTTTGGAAAATTGAGGCATGGGTGTGAGCACACATGCTCACACAAATGCAAGGACCCACACATGTGCATGCACTTGTACATGCTCTTGCACACCTCAACAGGACACGAGTGCACACACCTGCATGCATACAGAAGTGCACACAAACACATGGAGTACATATGCATGTCCATGTATTGTGCACCCGCTTATGTGCACACACACATACGCATCCATGCACGCACATCTGAGTGCACACCACAATGCATGCACGTACACAGACACACGTGCATGCATGCTCACACTTGCACAGTACGCTCACACAGACACACGTGCCCACCCACAACTCCTTTCCTCCTCTCGAATTCCCACCGTCCCATCACCGTGTAAACAGTACCTAGTCTTTTCTTTTTTTTTTTTTTTTTTTGGTACCGGGGATTGAACCTGGGTCCTTGCGCTTGCGCAGCAGGCAGTGAAACCACTGAGCTAAATCCCCGGCCCAACCTACTCTTTTCTTGTTCATCCAGGTCCACATCCGTGTCCCCTGGGTAGAAGTGAGCTGCCAGAATCAGAGACAGACTTTGTCCTGCTCCCTGCTGTGTCCCCAGAGCACACAGCGGTGCGTGGTCCACTCCGCGAGGGAACCCAGCAGCCAGGAGGGGAAAGCTGTGGCCACCTCTCTCCCGTCCCCACCCGAGTCACATTTTCAGGTGGCTCTGGAAATTGTGCGAGGTCTATGAGTGACAGTGAGATGCTCAGGGGCCCCGGTGGGGGCACAGGAAGGAGAGCGGGCCGCGTGGGGAAAGGGGAGGGGCTGAACCCCAGCTCTAAAAGCGGCTGTGGAGCGCTCGGCGCCTTCTGCAGCGTGCAGAGCCCAGAGAATTGGGCAATTGTGGTTTCCTCCGAGCCCTGGAGCTCAGGCGCCTGAGGACTTGTCTGCGGGGCATGGAGGAGCAGGTCGTGGGGCCCTCGGTGTTTGTGGTGGACGGACAGACAGACATCCCGTTCAGGAGGCTGGGCCCGAGCCACCGGAGACAGTGCTGCAGCCCGGCCCGGGTGGGCCTGGGGGTCCTGCTGCTGCTCCTGGGGGCCACGCTGGCCGCGCAGGGCTGGTTCCTGCTGCAGCTGTACTGGCGTCTAGAGGAGGTGGTCACCCGCCTGCCGGTGAGTAGGGCCTAGGGCTGGCACTGGGGGGCCTCCTGTGACATTGCGTCCCTGTGTGTCCATGTGTCTGTGTGCTTGCAGGACAGAGGACATCCAGCCTGAGCCCTGAGGTGCTGCTGTCAGCCCAGCCTCTCTGGACCTCATTCTCCTCATCTATAAAATGGAGATGACAGTAAGAGTGGCTGTAGCCTGGTACGGTGGCACACGCCTGTCAGCCCAGCACTCTGGGAGGCTGAGGCAGGAGGATCGCAAGTTCCGTCCCAGCCTGGGCAACTTAGTGGCTTAGGGAGACCTTGTCTCAGAAATAAAAGGGACTGGGGATGGAGCTCAGTGTGAAGGCCCTGGGTTCAATCTGCAGTACTGCAAAAGAAGAGAAAAAAGGACTGGCCACTGGCTAGAAAGTGAAGTATGATTGGAGAGGCAGTGGTGGGTGGTGGCTGGCCCAAGGCAAGTGCTTAGCCATTTGGGGTGAAGTCCAAACACTGCTGTCATTATTAACCATGCCCTCCTGGGCCCAGCACTGGGATTCTCACTGTGTGAATGGCTCTCTCAGTCCACTGTCACCTGGCCATGGATGAGCCTATGTGCCACACGTGCGTGTCCCACGGTATGCACATGTGGTCTTGCCCTTTGGTGTCCCGGTCACTGTGTCCCGCCTCCTCACATCCAGTTCCAGTTCCTGTGTGTCCAGTGCATGGGTCCCACCGCCCATGTACTCACCTGTCACACCCCGAATGCTGATGAATGTATCTCTGTCTCTGGGTCTCTGTGTCTGTGGACCTGCATGGGTCCATAAATCACGTGTCTGGGCATCTGCATCCGTGTGTGTCTTTTCTGCGTGTCACTGCGGATCAGGTCTGTGCCGAGTCACACATCCAAATTGGTGTCCAGGTGTCTAGCCATCAGGGTGCCTGCGTATTTCCAAATCCCCAAATCCTAAATCTGAACTCTTAACTCCTGAAAAATTTGAAACTTTGCTAGCACGGACATGACACTCAAAAAATTTCAGATTTTGAGCTGGGCACAGTGGTGCGCACCTATAATCTCAGCACTCTGGGAAGCTGAGGCAGGAGGATCGAAAGTTCCAGCCCAACTGGAGTAACTTAATGACTTAGTGAGACCTTGTCTCAGAATTTAAAAATTGTGGGGTTTTTTGGGGGGGTTGTTTTTGGTACTGGGGATCGAACTCGGGTCCTTGCCCATGCGGAGCAGGCGGCAGAACCACTGAGCTAAATCCCCAGCCTTCAGAATTAAAAAATTTAAAAAGGGTTGGAGATATAGCCCAGTGTGAATGCCCTGGGTTCAATCTCTAGTACTGCCAAAAAAAGTTTCATTTTGGACCATTTTGGGATTGGGATTTTCAGATGAGGAATGCTCAAGTGATAAAATCTATACAAATGTTCCCAAATCCCCAGAACAAATCTGAAATATTTCTGGTCCCAAGCATTTTGAATAAAAGTCATCAACCTATTTAATAAACATTCTCCAGGGACTGTAACAGGCCTCACACACAATAATTCATTAAATCCACAGCAAGCAGTATTTGTAACTATGCCTACACAGAGAAACACGGACTGCTTTGGAGGCTGCTGGTTGGTGAGCGTGCGCATGTGTGTGCCTGTGTGTGTGTGTACCGGGCATGTGGCTCTGTACTTGTGTCTGAGGGCAGTGTCTGTGCCATAGTCTGGCTGTCTCATCACCGCGTGTCTGAAGCTGGGATGTGGCAGGTCCTCACCGTGGGCTCCTTCTGCATTTTAGGACCAAGACGCAGGGCCCCGGGAGAAGTTGATACAAGGTGAGTCAGAGTCCGGTCCCTAAGAAGGAGCACCCAGTTCCCATGCTGCCCCCACCCCCTCTGCCCCTTGCTCAATTCAGTTGCAGTTGAGCAACACCCAAGCCCACAGGTGCCCCTCCCCACTCCTGCTGCCTAAGAAGCAGAAGTTTGGGTCTCTCCGGAAGGGGTGGGGCAGACGCTGAGATGTCCCCATGATGACCCCTTAGGGGGCTGACCCTTATCCTTTATTGTTTTTGTCTCTGATCTCTGACCCTCTCTCCCCAGAGTGGAGATCCCAACAGACCAACCCAGCAGCGCACCTTACAGGTGAGAGGGCCCGTGGGTCCTGGTGCAGGCCGGGGCAGGTGTCCTGGGGACCAGACCATGCTTGATGTGCAGAGCATTTATTCATTCCCTCATTCAATATGCAATGTGATCTAAAACTAAGGTGAGTGTTAAAAATGTTTTAAAAATGCATTACAGTAAAAGACAAATTGCCATGAATCCCTCTCAAAACATTCCTGTGTAGGGAGCAGGGAAAGGGGACATTACCAGAACCTCTGCAGTAAGTCCTAGTCTCCTGTGAGCCACGGCAGCACACGGCGAATTACAGGAAAAGTAGAAAAATGAGACTGAGAAGAAGCTGAGCTTTGGGTCTGATCAGTGCTGCTCTGGGTGGCAAAGACAAAGCGGCGACCCCACCCCCACACCCGGCTTACCGCACCTTTTATTCAGTACTCAGTGCATTGGGAGAAACAAATGTAACAGATGACTTGCAGAGAGTTCAGTACATCCTGCGTAAACAAGATGGTCACAGTCCAAGAACAATGAGGAATTGAGTAGATGTTTGTTCCTCCCAGGATGTTTTCAGCTCCCAGGATGTTTCTTGTCCTGGAGAATCACAGACAGCATCACCAGATCATTGAGGTCTCAGTTGTGACCGGAGGCCAAAATGGAGTTATGCCTCGGAATTGCATAGCTGGGCTGTAGGCAGGAGAACTAGGCTAACAAATGATTTTCCCCTAAAATTATGTAGCATTGCTTCCGACATTCCTGCTCACTCCAAGCACACTTATCCCATTGTTCTTGTCACTTTCTGAAACAGCTCTGGAGTCCTCTTTTGTGAGTGTCTTTAGTTGTGCGGCCATGGCTGCCTCGATGTCCTGAATCAACTCAAAATGCTAGCCTTTTTCCCATGCTGACTTTGACTGAGGAAGAGCCAGAGGTCACACCATGCCCGATCCAGTGAATAAGGTGGAATACTCTTGAAAGAAGACTCCAGAAGTGCTTCAGAAAGTGGCAGGACAATGGGATTTGTGTGCTTGGAGTGAGGGGGAGAACTTCGAAGAGGATGGAATGACAATATGTCTTTTATTATAATACACTTTTCAAATGTAAACATTCACTATATTTTGATCCACAGAATTGTCTAGCACACACAGGCTCTGGTGGCTATAAAAACTAGTCCCTATTATCCATGGGGGACCCATCCCAAGACCCCCTGGAACCACAGAGAGTAACAAGTCCTGTATATATTATATTTTTTCCTACCCATACATACCCACAATGAAGTTTAACTTATAAATTAGGCACAGGAAGAGATTGACAATAATTGATAACAAAATAGAATAATCGTGCCACTATCCTGCCATAGAAGTTATTTAAAACATGAATTGTTTGATCTGGAATTTTCCATTTAATATTTCTGTAGCACAGTGAGCCCATGGCATCTGAAAAAATGCAAAGTGCAACTGCAAATAAGGAGGGAGTAGTGCGTGTCTAATTTCATTTAATAAACCTGTCTCCAGTGCTTTCTGTGTCCTACCGTAGGACACTATTCATACCTGTGAATTTCACGATGTCCTAAGCAGATACTGTTACTGTCTCCATGTTCCAGAGAGAGAAACTGGGCCACACAGGGGTCCCATGGCTGCCAGCACTGCAGTGTGTTCTGCCTTGGTCCTTTGATTCTGCAGCTTTCAAGATTTGACATTTTCCCCAAGTGACTTAATTATGCTATGCCTCAAGTTACTTTGCCTCCCATGCTCTACCCAAAAATGTGGGTGAAATGAGTTAAGAATCATAATACACAAGTCACTTTGCTTCCCGGTGCCTCAGTTTCCCCTACCTGCAAAGCAGGGATATAGTGAATGTATCCATATACACAGCCTAGCACAGAAGTAGAGGATCAGACAGTGGCGATGACCAGCCTCGGGTCCCACAGCAAGAAAGAGACATGAGGGCCGGGGATTTAGCTCAGTGGTCCCGCAGCCTGCCTAGCAAGCGCAAGGACCCAAGTTCGATCCCCGGTACCCCCCCAAAAAAACAAACCCAAAAATGAGACATGAGCTGATCAGGTCCCCCCCCCCCCCCCCGGCAGGGGCCAACTCCAGCTTGACCAGCCGTGGCGGCCCGCTGCTGTGGGAGTCACAGTTGGGCCTGGCGTTCCTAAGAGGCCTCAGCTACCGCAATGGGGCCCTGGTGACCACCAAGGCTGGCTACTATTACATCTACTCTAAAGTGCAGCTGGGCGGCATGGGCTGTCCCCAGGGCCTGGCCAGTGGCTTCCCCATCACCCACGGGCTGTACAAGCGCACGCCCCGGTACCCTGAGGAGCTGGAGCTGCTGGTGAGCCGACGGTCGCCCTGTGGGCGGGCAAACAACTCCCGAGTCTGGTGGGACAGCAGCTTCCTGGGCGGCGTGGTGCACCTGGAGGCCGGGGAGGAGGTGGTCGTCCGGGTGCCCGATGAGCGTCTGATCCGCCTGCGTGATGGCACTCGGTCCTACTTTGGAGCTTTCATGGTGTGAAGGAAGGAGAGGTGGTGGACTGGATGGAGAGACCTCAGAAATCCCTCAGGGGACAGACAACCTGGCAGCAGAGACATCGGCGGCCTCCCAGGGAACCCAAAACTCGGCAGGGGGACAGCTGGATGGATCCCTCCAGGACCATGATCTCAGCACCTTGAGGCTGAAGACCCAGAGGACCCTTCTGAGGACCCCCTCTCCCCCAGACTTCAGGCATTGCCACGACAATTCTAATGACAAAGACCTGGGGCTGGGGCACTTGCTGAGACTGCTCGAGACCCGGGCTTCTGTCCCCAGTGCCCCCCAAATTAAAGACAAGGACCCAAAGACTTGGGGGTCTATAGACCCTTGAGTATGAGATTTAGCTGATTTGCCTGATATTCAGGAAGAAGGGATGGGGGGGTATTTATACTTTTCTTCCCAAGGAAAGTGGGATTCCAGGGATTTGGGCTGGACACTGGCAACTGTGTGGGTCTCCCCGCTGTCACAAGGAGGGTCAGGGGAACACTAGACATCAGGACTGGTCCACCTAGAAGGGTGGGTCCAGTGCCACAAACAGTCATAGCCAAGTCTCACCCCCAGGCGTGTGGTGTTGCTGGGGACCATGGTGTAGACAGTCCCACCTGGTGGGTTCTCAGCTGCCAAGGTGGCCTTGAGCCACTGGCTGTGTCCTGTCACTGAGAGGCACACGCAGCCCACGAGGACACCGCTGTCATGGCCCCAGCACATAGGAAATGCTTGCTGAGTATAAGAAAGGAGCAAAGGATGACTCGACAGTCACACCTGCCTTGTCATGGAGAATCTGTGACAAGCGGAGGAAACACAGAACACACAGCTCAGAGGCAGCGTCACACACACACCCCCAGCCACCCACCGGGGGTCGGAGTCACACTTGTCCCCGGACTTCACTTGGTCTCTGTGGGCTTCACATGCCAGGTCACTGCCAGCCCCGGGAACCCACATGAAGTCACAGTAACAAACACATGTCACACACACAGCCTGAGGAGCCTTCCTGGCTGGAACGGACACATCCTGGGCTCAGGACCAGCCCTTGTCTGTGGCCCATGGTCCCCTTGACCCTGGTCTTTGAAATAAACAGCAAACAGTTGCACTCGGTCCGTCTAGTTCTTGGGGGAAGACATTGGAGGAGGAAGATGGGATGTGGTTTGCAGGCCCAAAAAGCCCCAAGGGAAGGGGAAATGGACAAGTGCTGAGAGGCAGTGACTCACAGAGGGGAGGGATGAGCCCAGTGAGATCATCTTATAGGTGAAGAACGTGGACCATGCAGGAAGCATGGGATAAACCAGACATCTCATGCCTGGCTTTCCACAACTCCAAGGAAGCGAAGGCTCTGTCCTACAAGGCACCTTATTGGTCACATCCAGAACAGAGTCAGTCTGCTGAGCCAACTGGAAGCTTGGAGTGAAGAGAGTGTGGGAAGATGGGAGAGGGGCAGATAATGATGTGCATTCAAATTTGCGGCTTATGCAAATGAGCATTACCACAGTGCGGCTGGAGTGAGGTCTTCGTTCCTAGAATCTGAGAATGGGAGATGAATTATTTGTTATTATTGGCATTCTTGGTATTGTTGTTAACATTGTTACACCATGCAGCAGAGAAGGGAACAGGCTTTACCATCTGAAGGTCCCGGCTTCCAAGTCCAGCTTACCCCTTAGTCACTGTGACCTTAAGCAAGGCCTTCCACTTCTCAGTGCCTCAGTTTCTTCATCTGTAAAATAGGGGAAGACAACTCAAGGGGAGACAACTCACTCCTTAGGTTCATTGTACAGATCAGGCATGGGAAAACTTGTTTGTTTTGACAACTGGTGCAGAATCAGAGGTCAGTAAGCATGCAGGGCTATGAGAGACTTAGACACATTAATAACATCTGTGGGGCTGTTCTCTGGCATCCTGTGTAAGTTGTATCATATGTCACCATATCTAAGCTCTGGGCAGGAACTACTATGATCCAGCTTTTAAGGGCTAAAATTGTGACCTAAGACTGGCCCTGAAGCCTCCCTCTACCAAGGGCTGGAGAGTCCAGAAAAGTTTCCCATTGCCTTCCCCGCCGCAGGGCTGGTAAGAGGCAGAAGGGCCCCCAAGTGCCAAGCCCCAGCCCCCATTGGAGTTTCCTTTACGGTCATCACAGTCTTTCTGTTTCCCTTACTTTGATGAGGAGACCAAGGTAAGGGGACAGTGTATTTATAAAAGCCACCACCACCAGCCACCAACTTCTGCCTGGGGATGGAACCACTTGCTAAGTTTAGTCTCCAAAAATCATTCTAACAGGGGCTTTGCAGCCTTGAGGAGGAGGAGGACGGAGAGGGAGAAGTAGACATGAGTAAAGAAGGGAAGAGGTAGGGGTAGAAAGAGAGAAGGTGGCAAAAAGGAGAAGAAGGAGGAGAAGAAGTAGGGATAGAAGGAGGAGGAGGAAGAGGGAGGAGATGAAGACAGGAACATGAAGGAGAGAGTGAAAGAGGGAGAGGGAAGGAAGAGGTAGAAGGAAAGGGGGAAGGAGAGGGGGAAGAGATGAAGGAGAGGAAAAGATAGGAAGGAATGAAGAAGGTCTAGCTAGAGCAGAAGCTGAGACCTAGGGCCCGACTTGGTTCAGACGAAGTATAGGGACAGGAAGCCCCTAGCCCATGTCACTGACCTACTTTGCAATTTCTGAGAAGTTTATCTTCTCTGTTTCCTCTTTCACCTCTTAGGCCCCACTGGCAACTCTTCCTGAGGGCCTGCAGTCCAGCATCCTCACCCAATCCCGACCCCTGTGCAGGAAATACCTCCCCTTCTCTTCATTTCTTGCCAAGACCCAGAGGTAGGAGAAGTAAAGTGATGATAAACTAAATCTTTAACTTTATATTACCATACTAGGCTCCTCTCGCTGCATGTCACTGTGTGCAAACCCTGATATGCATCATGTTACAGAAGCACAGTGGTTCTCCCATGGAGCCAGACCACCTGAGTTCAAGTCCCTGCTCTGCCATTTCCCAAACAGGTGACCTTGGGCTCCATCCTTGGCTTCTCTGGGCCTCAGTTTCCTCATTTGTATAGGAAGACAGAGTGGCCTCTACCTTGATGCTCATTACTGTGAGATTAAATGACCTGAATCTTTAAGTACTTTTACAAAGCTTGGCCTGCAGTGAGCTCTTTAATCCTTAGTAGCTGATCTTTTTGTAGGCATAATTTGTTCCCAAGGTTTGGAGAAGTGTCCATCAAAAGTCCTCATCCCACCATATGCTATCACCATTGTGTGCCTCCACAGGCCCAAAACAACAGGACCAACAGAGTATAGACTGGAATCTCTAAATCTGTGAGCCAAGACAAACCTTTTCTCTTTGTACATTGATTGTTCCTGGTATTTGTTATAGTAACAGAAAGCTGACTAACACATTTATAATTATAATGAACATTTAAATTTTTGATCCTTCTCAGTTATTATATCAAAGGTGGTCTCATATGCATAGACCACATCTAGTCACTTGAATGTGTTTTTAAATAGGAATTAGTAGCCAATATTTAACTGTGAGAAAATTCTGCACATTGATGATTCCAGATTTCTGGATTCTTTGGGGAAGGTGTAAGCTGGAACAACAGCCCTGCTGAGTAGAGGCAACTCCCTTTGTCACCCAGAAGCCAGTTCCTGATGCAACAAGGAACTGACCCTCACTTCCTTGGTCCTCAGATCATTGTTCCCTGGTACAAAAAAAAGTGGGCAAAAGCAGATGCTTCTTGTCTTGCATTGGGGTTAGGTCCCAATAAACCTACCATAACTTGAAAATAAATAAGTAAAAAAATGCATTGAAGAGTCGGAGCACAGTGACACACACATATCATTCCAGCTACTGAGGAGGCTGAGGCAGGAGGATCACAAGTTCAAGGTCAGCCCGGGCAACTTAATGAATCACTGTCTCAAAATAAAAAATAAGAAGGGCTGGGGGTATAGCTCAAAGGCAGTTGTTTCCCTAGCATGTGGGAGGCCTGGGTTCCATTCTCAGCACTGCAAAAAAAAATTTCATTGAGTACATTTAACCTACTGAAGAGCCTCTCCTTCCTACCCCTCCTTAGGACAATCACCTGACCAGAATCATCTGACACAGAGCCCATTTTATAATAAAGTATTGAATATCTCATTATTAAGTACCTGTGTCCAAAGGACACTGCCTAAAAGGGTCACTGTAGAGAATCAGCTGTTTGCGTGTAGCAGCCTGTCGATCGGGTCAGCCAGCTACCACAGTGTTACTGAGGTAGGATAGAAGAAATGAAGGCAGGTACGAAGGAGACAAGGAGAATCATGATTTTAAAGCTATACTTTTGAGGAAAAACTAAACCATCACCACATAAAAGTCACTCAGTCCTTCTTCTCTTCCAGGAAACTCACTAAAAAATTTCCTAAGGGTCTTAAGAAGGCTGTAAACTGGGCGCTGGGCCTGGGCCTTTCACCTGTAACTTGTGCTCCCTTGTGCTGACCACATCCTCGAGAAAACTCACTGGGCAGTGGACAGCGGGGCTCACCTCAAACTCAGGCAAATGGTGTAATGGTGTGCTCTCTAAAGGAGCCTGGCAGATGGGAGACAGGAGAGAGAGAGGGCGGGGGGGAGAAGGCCAAGGTGGCAGGTGCACTGAATGACTCTCAGGTGACAAGTTTTGTTTTTGGTACTGGGGATCGAACTCAGGACCTTGCACTTGTGAGGCAGGCAGTGGCACCACTGAGCTAAATCCCCGGCCCTCAGGTGACAGTTATATTAACTGGGTCTTTCAAGGAGTAATCTCCCCTTCCTCTGAGGCCATTGTTCTTGTGTAAATAAAATGGGCTGTGTTGAGCAACTCCAGAGAGAAGTAGGTCACTGCTTACTCCCTGGGGACCCTCTTCATTTAGTTTGTTTTGAGACCTTGAGGTTTTTCTGAACTCTCACGGGGTTCTGACTCTGTGGGCCCTGGACCGTGTCAGCACACCCAGAGGATGGTACGCTCTCTTGAGCGAAGTTTGAAATCACAAGCTTGTGTGGATTTTATCTATAACTAATGAGTAAGAAAGTGAAAAAATATCACATCTTCTTTGCTTTTCAAGAAGCCCCCAGGCCTGCTGATGACCAAATTTCTGCCTAACAAAAACAATTTTTTTTACCATTTTTTTGTTTTTATGTTTTTTTAACCACAAAAATATACCGAGCTCCAGACCACAATGGGCCTCTGTCCCTCTTGAGGCCCAGCACTTTGTAAAAATGTGTACTTTTCTTTTTATTTGTTTTGTCTTGTTTTTATTTTTTATTAGCACGTGTTTGCAGTACATTGTGCTTACATTTTTTATGTAGGCTTGGAGCGTGTACATAACGCATCTTAATTCCTTTTGCATCTCCTTACTCTCCCTGCGCTCTATCTCTTGGTCCTCTTCCCATCTGAGAAAGATCTCTCTCTCTCTCTATTTTCAATAAGCCAGGGAGTCCAGAGGACTCCAGAAGCTGAAAATGCAGAAAAATGGATTTTTCCTTAACCTCCAGAAAGAACAGCCCCGCTGATAGCTTAATTGTAACCCAAGATGTTTAATTTGGGGTTTCTGACTCCCAGAACCCTAAGATAACCAGCTAGTGTTGTTAGTAGTGTATTGCAGCAGTCATAGTTACTACTGTGACTACAATTGCTCATGTTTCCTCAGTGTCGTGGTCATCTCAGACTGTGCCACACAGACAGTCCCTGACCTATGATAGTTAGACTTCATGGTTCTTTGACTTTAAACGGGTGTCTAAGGAATAGCCATTCAGCAGAAGCCACCCTTTGGCTCCTGTATTTTGGTCTTTTCTAGGGTCAGCAGTGTGTGGTACATCACTAGATGGGTTCCCAGGAGGATTCCCCAAAGCGAAATTGAGGAACCTTGGCTCACCCCACCCAAGGGTCAGGTTGCAGGTTTGCTGACATCCATCACAGAAGAATTTTCAAGACATGTTGGTAAGAGATATAAAGAGGTTTAGCAGGTAGAATTTTAAAGTTGAGTCATTTGTAGGAAAATGGATGCACCTTGAAACCACAGTGTTGAGTGAAATAAATCAGCCACACAAGCTTAAATGTCTCCTAGTTTCTTTTATATGAGGAAGCCAAAATATAAATAAAGAACAAAATGAAAGATTTGTTTTGAGATATGGTATCACCACATCATTACATTTCCCAGGTTGGGTTCAAACTAGCAATCCCCCTGCCTCAGTCTCCCAGAGTGCTGGAATTACAGGCCTGTGTTACCTCACTGAGCTCCTAAAGACTTTTTAAAAACTTTATGGAGAAATTTGTGAACATGCCCAAAAAAGGACAAGAAAATAGTCTCAAGAATACTCATAAACCTGGGCTTTATGGGAGGTTGGGTGGTTTCTGGGAGGCTGAGGCAGGAGGATTATGAGTTTGAGACCAGCCTAGAATGTAGTGAGACCCTGTGTCAAAAAAGCGAAAACAGAACACTCATCATTTATCACTGATTCAACAGTTTCAATGTCTTGCCATGCTGACTTTATCAGCTAATCCATTTATTTATTTTGATATTTCAGAATCATACCATTTCACATTCCCCTCAATATTTTCATCACCCAAAGGCCCAGGCCTTGGAGGTTTGGCTCTATTGAAAGGCAGGGGAATGTTTAAGAGGTGGGCCCTGGTGGGAGGTTTTATGCTATTGGCACTATGCTGTGAAGGGCATTGTGGGGCTTTGGTTTCTTTCACTTTCTTTCTGCTTCCTGGCTGCCC